CAGCCTGCAATGATGATTCCTGCCATCAGGTCTTCTCGGTATCGGTAGCACATCTCCTTAAAGAGACTGGCGGCTGTGTGTACTAGTGGAGGCTCGTTCAGTTCGATACTAGAAGGTGGGGATGGAAGAAGGCTGTATGAGGACCTGGAGTCAGGCCTCTTAGTGCTTTATGTCCCAGATCCCCGAGGATATTTTTTCCTCCCCTGCCCCCAAGCACCTGTGGAAACCAAGCTGGTAAGTGACAGCATCAGCTACTGCTTGGGTATCGGCCGCTGAGCCAGATCGGCAGCAGAAGATATGGTCATGGATAGGGGTCAGCTTGTCTGTCACTCGATTGGCGATGTAAGACCTGCAGGATGGCAGAACGGTGAGAAGGACCCCACTTGCCTCCCACCAGCTTCAGGGAGAAACATTGGTACTACCTATTAGTTCTGAAAAATGAAGCAGGTGAACGGAGACCAGCCCTTCGTCAGTGTTTCACCAAAAGGTGAGCCACAGAATTGCGAACAAATCCTTATCTCCAGGTAGAGGAGAAACGTCTCTTCTCACAGGGGTCTGAGGGCGCTAAGGATGGACTGGTGGGCAGAATGGGCTGTGTGTATGGGGTGGGGGCACAGCCAGACCTTTTTCTGTTATGAGCTCACCCAGTGGTTGTTCTCGAGTCTGCTCCTAGAACCACGCCCCCATCAAACTGCACAGCCATGATCGTGGTCTGGGAAAAAGCAGAGCGTAAAAAAGGTGAAGCTGAGCCTTTACCACATTCTCGAGCACACATCAACCTCAGGGATTCCTCACCCGGGGTCTCGAACACAAAATGCGTGCTCCGCGGGCCCATTATCAAATATGGGGGGGGGGCGCTCAACACTTCAAAGAACTTAAAAAGCCCCAACTTCAAATCCCAGGATCCAGAATCTTACGCTCAGTGCACCGTTCACCTTTCCCCGCGGAAGGTATCACCCACTCCAGCCTCCACAGAACCCTCTCGCAAAACAACACTGCACCTCTCTCCCAACCCACGAAGCCCGAACCCATTCGGGCTCCACGCTTTCCCCCCGCGCCAAGCCTACTACGTGATTTCTGAATCCCAACTCTTTCCTCACCCCTGTGGAGACTTCCCGGTTTTCCCAGTCTGGGGCGAGAGCCTCCGGCCCAAAAGCCGGTGCAGAGACCCCTCCTCGAACAGCTAAGGTGGCCGCCATCTTCCTCTTCTACTGCTGCCACAAAGCAACTGTCGTAAAGCGCTCCGTCACTCCCTGTAGTAGCTCTCCGAGGCCTTCTGGGAAGGAAGCGGGGCTGAGGTTGACGGCAGAAGGGAAAACGGACCGCCCGGTTGCGACAGTGGACGCTTGACGGCAGTGTGTCAAGTTACAAAAAAAAAAAAAAAAAAAAGAGGTGGGTACGGGGAGGGAAGGCGGGGCGGAGCCTCTTCTCTTACTGAGGCTTGCTGGAGCCCTGAGGCTAAAGATAGTTGTAAATGCGGCCCAACTTTATGAGATTTGTGTGTGTGAGTGTGTGATTTTTTTTGCTTTTGTTTTTGGTAACTCGATTGTGTGGTCTGGAGTATGAAGGTTTTGTAGATGATAACGTTGTGTCGCGATGTCAAAAGGGTGGCCACGCCTGATTGGTGTCCTGGTTCCAAGAGCCTCAAGATAGAGTAAAGATTGGAATGATCGGGGCATGTTTTCATCCCTCTTGGTCACAAACTTAGCAGTGTGTGTTAGGAGTTGATTTTCTGGGTCTTTTGAAGAAGCTATAATTGTTTTCTGGATCATCTGTCCTACTTGACAACCACACCTGACGTTTCTGAGGGTTTCCACTTTCATGCATTATCACCGGTGTAATATCTGTATCTGTATCTCTATCTATCTATCTATCTATCTATCCATCCATCATCTATCTATTATTATCTTTTTTTTTTAAACTCCCCCTCTGTATTATATTTTTCAATCATGGCCATTCTAGTGCATGTGGATGCAATCTTGTGATTTTGATTGTTTTTCCCGAATAATTATTAGTTAAGCATATTCCTATGGCTGTGAGCCATTTGTGTATCTTCTTGGAGCAATGTCCATTCGAAGTCTGCCCATTTTAAAAAGGGTTACTTTGGGTTGGGGATTTAGCTCAGTGGTAGAGTGCTTGCCTAGCAAGCACAAGGCCCTGGATTCGATCCTCAGCTCAAAAAAAAAAAAAAAGGTTACTTAGGGGTTGGAGCACTGACTGCTTTTCCAGAGGACCCTGGTTCAATTCCCAGTACCCACATAGTAGCTCACAGCTGTCTGTAGTTCTAGTTCCAGGGGCTCTGACACCCATGGCAAAACACCAATGCACATAAAATAAAAATAAATAAACTTTAAGAAAGGGTTAGTTGGTGTTTTTATTGTTGTGTTATAAGTGGGTTTTGTTTTGTTTTGTTTTCTGAGACAAAGTTTCTCTATATAACAGTCCTGGTAGCCCTGGAACTAGCTCTATAGACCAGGCTAGCTTTGATATCTATCTGCCTGCCTCTGCCTCCTGAGTGCTGGGATTAAAGGTATCACCACCACTACTGGGCAAGTGGTGTGTTTTTGTTGTTGTTGTTTTGGGTTTTTGAGACAGGGTTTCTCTGTAGTCCTGGAACTCACTCTGTAGACCAGGCTGGCCTCAAACTCAGAGATCCACCTGCCTCTGCCTCCCAAGTGCTGGGATTAAAGGCATGAGTATTATTTTTTTTATATATTTTAGGTACTAGAAACATCAGACATATGATTTGCAGGTATGTTTCTACCATTTGATTACAGCAAAAGTTTTAAATTTTGGGCAAGTAAAATAGCTTGGCCAGTAAAGGTGTCCCTCCCACAAGGTGGAAGGAGAGAACCAACTCCTGAAAGTGGTCTTCTGACCTCCACACACAATCACTGTGGCTCAAATGCACCCTCCCCTCCCCCAACAAATAACTAAATGTTAAAAAAAAAAAGTTTTACATTTTGGTGAAGTCAAATTTATTCTTTTTTTTTTTTGGTTGTGTTTCTTCATTAATACCCCAAAACCTTTGCATCAATGCTTGGCTTTCTAAGATTTTTGTTTAGCTTTTGCTTTTGTTGCTGGGTTTAAACCCAGAACCTTGTGCATGCATCCTAGGCAAGCACTCTATCACTAAGCTCCATCCCCAGGACTCTTTACTTTTTTTATTTTAAGGAAGGATCTCCCTAAATTGCCAAAGCTAGCTTTGAACTTATCTGTAGCCCAGGCAGGCACTGTGGTTGTTAAATTGTTAAGCCTCCCAAGTAGCTGAGATTGCAAGTCCCTGCTACCAGGCTTGGCTTTTCTGATTTTTTTTTTTTAAGATAGCATCTCATGTAGCCTCAAACTTGCTGTGTAGCCAAGGTTGGCTTTGAACTCCCGATCTTCCTCCCTCTACATTCATTTTGTTGGGATTATAGGTAGGTTGTCATGCCCACACTGCTTTTTTTTTTTTTTTTTTTTTTTTTTTTTTTTTTTTTTTTTTTTTTGGTTTTTCGAGACAGGGTTTCTCTGTGTAGCTTTGCGCCTTTCCTGGGACTCACTTGGTAGCCCAGGCTGGCCTCGAACTCACAGAGATCCGCCTGGCTCTGCCTCCCAAGTGCTGGGATTAAAGGCGTGCGCCACCACCGCCCGGCCCACACTGCTTTTTGTTTGTTTGTTTTTCTCGAGACAAGGTCTCACCATGTAGCTCTGGCTGTCCTGAAACTCGCTCTGTAGACCAGACTGGCCTCGAACTCGCAGAGATCTGCCTGCCTCTGCCTCTATAGTGCTGGGACTAAAGTCGTGTGCCACCACTGTCCAGAACCCACCCTGCTAATGTGGGTGATGAGGATCCAAACTCTGGTTCTCACTTCAAGACAGGGTGACAATTAAGTTAGTTCATTAATCCAAGCGATACGTAGGTTGATTTAGACAAAGAAACGTGGGGGAAATGTGGGGAATGGTCAGATTTTCACAGATTCAATGTTGGTGTAGTGAAGGTCAGTTTAACAAGATTTTGGGTCTGAAGACCTGGAAAAATAGAATTCCTTACTGAGCTAACAAGACGACAAAGGGAATATTTTAGGAGAAGAAGGCATTAGAAACTCAGTCTGAACCTGTTAGGTGTGCTATGCCTAGTTGACATCCCAATGGAAATGCTGAATAGCCAGTCGGATATATAGAATTCAGAAGAAAGCAGATTTGAGGTACAATTTTGGAGTTAGTATATGAAATGGTCAACTCTTTCTTTTTTTTCTTTTTTTTTTTTTTTTTGGTTTTTCGAGACAGGGTTTCTCTGTGCAGCTTTTGAGCCTTTCCTGGAACTCGCTTTGAAGACCAGGCTGGCCTCGAACTCACAGAGATCCACCTGCCTCTGCCTCCCAAGTGCTAGGATTAAAGGCATGCGCCACCACCGCCCGGCCGGTTAACTCTTTCATGTTCACGAGTATGGGAGAGACCAAGGAGACCTTTGATAGACACTTCGTGGAGCCAGTGCCTGTTTGGTGTGAGGCATGATGCAAAGCTTCAGGTTGGAGACAGAGAACCCAAAAGGAGATGTCCTTCTGGTGGAACTCAGGTGGGACGTGTTGCGTTTGCTGTGTGGAGCTCGGAGGACAGGTCTGGACTGGAGGCTTGGTGTAGGGCTGTTAACTGAAGGTTGGGAGTGACTGAAACAGACTCTGGGGAATATGAGCGGATCAGACGCAGAGAACAGGGATAACACATCTTCCCACATTCCCCGCCGCCCCCTTAAGCTAGCTCTAAGTCATCACACACAACGCCCTATGTCGACAGCTACTAAAGAATTCTTTATTTTTCATTGCTTCTTCCAGCTTCGGGAGGCTGAAGATGAGAGGATCATACACCACGCACTCGGCCCTGCTGGGGGCGGGCCTTAACTGTGGTGACGTCACGGAGGAGGACGGCTACCCAGGGCGCCCGGTCCTCGGTGAAACCCCGGTGCGTCGATCCTTCCCTACAGCCGTGCCTTCCTGGTCAGTCCCCGGACACCGCGGTCATCAAGCCAGCTGGAGCAGGCCGTGGCCGGCTAGCAGGCCCTGGGTACGGTTGTAGACGTCCTCCAGGACTCGGGCGGCCCGGGCCAAGGCAACCCGCGCGTCTGCCTCTCTGGCTCCGGGACACGCCAGCTGGAGCAAGCGGCCGCGACTCGGGAGGGCGAGGAGGGCCAGGCGGGCGGCCTGACGGATGAGCCAGGGGTGGTGCGCGGCCAGGGCGGTGCTGTAAGCGTCCCCGCACTGCACGCCCGCGTCCGGACCTCCGAGCGTCCCTGTCGCCACCCGGTGGAGGCAGAGCTGGGACCAGCGCAGCGCGCGGTGCAGCAAAAGCAGCGTTCGAGAGCCCGAGGACCCGGCTGGGACCCGGGGCGCGGTCCCCGGCCGCTCCAGCAGTCCTGCTTGCCGCTCCCACGTCGCCATAGTCGCCAGCGACGTGTAGTGCGAAGCCTCGGGGCCATGCACGCGAGCCTCGAGGGCGGTCACTTTGATGACGGCCTCACTGGTGGCGAAGGCGAAGACAGAGCCAAGGGGGGTTAGGAACCTGTTTGGTGGTGGAAAGGAGGTGATGACCGGAGAAAGAGCAGGGAATCATTTGGAAGACGGGCTTTGGGGAGGGAGATCACCCACCTGAGTAGTTCCCTCCATCCTGCCAGGTACTGAGACAATTCCACATCCCCTTCCGGGCTCATACAGGCCAGGAAGGGGCTCATCATGCGACCCAGCACCCCTTGAGGCCCCAGGCAGGGAGGCTCCTCCTTCTCCGGGACCACCAGAGGTCTCAACTCTGGACCGATCTGGCAGGTAGACATAAGAGATAGGTAAGACGTTCCTAACCTGCTAGGCCTACTTAACTATTGGGCTCTGAAAAAATTGCCCCTCGGGTTTAGCCAGGGTTCCTCCTGGTTATTCTTGGCATGTGAAGGGAGAGGGGAACAGAGAGGGAGGCGCCTCCTTTCATTAGCTTCTCAGTCTGGGTCCCTCCCCGCGCCCCTCCCCGTTTCCCTGTTCAGAGCTCTCAGGCTCTGGCCTTAACTCAAGCGTACCTGGGAAGGTAGCGGTCCCTCTGGGTTGCAGGACTGCATCCCGGGCCTGCAGCCTGTCAGGACACCCGAGGTGAACCGAAGCAAGGCCGTGAGGACTGGAGAAGGAGAAGGGGGCTTGAGTTCCCACAGGCGGGCCTGCTGGGTTCTCGGAGCCGGTAGCACAAGAGGCCGGTCGGGGAAGAGCCGCACACTGGCGTAAAGAAGTAACAGCGTGAAGAAAGCGAACGGAATCGCGTGGCAGAACCAGCGTCCCAGGGCTGGGGGTGTCAGCGAGACCCCCATGACCGTCGCTGGCACACCTCACCTAGCTGGGTGGTGGCTTTTCGCTTCCCGTGGCGTCCAGAGGTGTAGATGGTTAATAATTAACCAATTAAGGCCCCCTCCCCTGTGTCCTTTGCCCCAGAGGTCAGACCCTGGGGTGAGGGACCTAATGAAGATCTGGGGGATTTGGCATGTGACATGTCTCTGTATTGCCTTTACATGTGGGGCTAGCCTGAAACAAGAGGCAGCCTCTTATGGGTCCTGCTTTAACCCTGGGCATGAATCCACTGTAAACTGAGGGTAATGGGTCTTTGTAACTCTCATGTGAGGATCAAGTGGAAGCATTGGAAGTGGAAAAGCTGATCACCGTTGCCCAACAGATCTTACTTGCTGGGGTGAGATGGTAGGGCTGTAGATGCTCCCTTTACAGTCTCAAGACTTAATTTTTTAAGCTCCCCGTTAGTTTTTCCTTTATTAAATCAACCTTTACTCTCTACTTCACCGTGGCAAGCCCTATACTAGATTCCCCAGAATACAAAAGTGTTTTCACAGCTGGGCATGGTGGCCCAGGCCTTCATATAACCTTAGGTATTTGGGAGGCCGAAGTAAGAGTATCAAAAGTTCAAGGCCAGCCTGTGTAACTTATCTAGACTCTGCCTTAAATTTTTCTTAAAGTATAAAAAGGCATTCCTACTCCAATAACACTGTTTAGAGATGCTCAGAATGGCCCAGCATTTGATATACCATTATAGGTCTCCCTAAAATAAGGACTCTAACAAAAATGTCTGTTTGGAACCCCTGGTAACAGAATTGTTAATTTTTATTCCAAGGAGTGTGAGAAAGCAGCAAAATGCACATGTGGTGTGTGTCCAGGCAGATTTTGAAGAGTTTGTGCCATGAGACCTAACGTCCTCATGACGTTGCCTAAAACAACATCAATAAAAATGTTAGCAGGGTATTCAGTGATTCCACCGTGATAAATGTGTTCATGAAGGTTCTAGTGTTTTCCTAATTGAGGAGCAGAAAACCACTGTGAGAGTGTTGAAAGCACAAATACAGAGTCAGAAAGCTAAAAAAAATTAAGCCCTTTTTCCCCCCTTCAAGACAGGGTTTCTCTGTGTAGCTTTGGCTATCCTGGAACTCACGATATAGATCAAGCTGTCCTCGAACTCACAGAGATCTGCCTGCCTCTGCTTCCTGAGTACTGGGATTAAAGGCATGCATCACCATGCCCCACATCTCAGATTGGGTTTGAACTTTCTATCCTCTGACCTTAGCTTTCACACACTGCGATTATACACAGGCTTAATCCACTAGGCCTGGCCAGGCACCTTACTTTTCTCGGTCATCTTAGGCATTTAGAATATTGCTTGCACCGAATGCATTATAAATAAACAAATATTCATTAAAGAAACAAGAATGTATATGAGGCCAGTAAATCAGCCCTGGTGCCCCCTGACAAATTTAGCCAGGTTTTGTCTTCTTGTTTTGTGAATTAGGGGTCCATCTGCTAGTCATAGAAGGGAAGGCATTCTGGGAAAGGATGCAAAAATATCACCGAGCCGGGTAAAGGGGATAATATAATTCCAGAACCTAGGAGGCTGAGGCAGAAGGATCAAGAGTTCCAGGCCAGCCTGGGGTATACAATGAGCTCCAGGCCAGTCTTGGCTACATAGTAAACCCTGTCTTAAAGAATACATGAAGCGCGCCTTTAATCCCAGCACTTGGGAGGCAGAGCCAGGCAGATCTCTGTGAGTTCGAGGCCAGCCTGGGCTACCAAGTGAGTTCCAGGAAAGGCGCAAAGCTACACAGAGAAACCCTGTCTCGAAAAACCAAAAAAAAAAAAAAAAAATACAAAAAGCGGGCTGGAGAGATGGCTCAGAGGTTAAGAGCACTGGCTGCTCTTCCAGAGGTCCTGAGTTCAATTCCCAGCAGCCACCGTGGCTTACAACCATCTGTAATGAGATCTGGTGCCCTCTTCTGGCTTGCAGGCATACATGCAGGCAGAACATTGTATAAATAATAAATAAAAATCTTTAAAAAAAAAAAAAGAATACAAGAAGCAGAGGAAGAACAGCCGCATCTATTCTTAGTTATCTCAGTCCCTGTCCATAAAGTCTTAGAATTATTCCTGTCTCACGGAGTGTGGTGCCCCCTGCTGGTAATCCCAGCACTTGGGAAGCTGAGGCAGAGGGATCCGTGGAGAATTCAAGGTCCGTCTGAGCTACTATGCTGGATGTTTTATGTCAACTTGACACAAGCTAAAGTCATCCGAGAAGAGGAACCTCAATTAAGAAAATGTCTTCATAAGACCAGACTGCAGGCCAGCCTGTAGGACATATTCTTAATTAGTGATTGATGGGGGAGGGCTCAGCCCATTGTGGATGGTGCCATCCCTGGGCTGATGATCCTGGGGTCTATAAAAAAGACTGAGCCAGTGGCGGCGGCGGTGGTGGCACATGCCTTTAATCCTAGCACTCCGGAGGCAGAGGCAGGCGGATCTCTGTGAGTTCGAGGCCAACCTAGTCTACAGAGTGAGATCCAGGACAGGCACCAAAGCTACACAGAGAAACCCTGTCTCGGAAAAAAAACCAAAACAACAACAACAACAACAAAAAACAAGCAAAAAACAAAACAAACAAAAACAAAAAAAAAAAACGCAGACCGAGCATGTCACGGGGAACAAGCCAGTCAGTAGCACCCCTCCATGGCCTCTCATCTGCTCCTGCCTCCAGGTTCCTGACACACTTGACTTCCTGTCCTGACTTCCTTCAGGGGAAGTGTAAGCCAACTAAATAAACCCTTCCTCCCAAACTTGCTTTTTGGTCATGGTGTCTCTTCACAGCAATAGAAGCCCTGACTAAGACAGCGACCCACTCTGGGTACGTCTGGTGAACAAGGCTCTCAAAGGATCAGGGCCACGGACTTAAGAAGAGCTTTTCCAGCCCCTACACCTCACAGGCTCTTGATCTACTAACTCTATGCTTTCCCACACCCTGTAAAGTTGCCCCTCGTCCTCGAACTGCCCCTGCCTAATCCTGTCCCTGGCAGACTTCCACTGGATCGCTACAGTCTCCAGCCTTGGCTCCCATTTCCAGTGCTGGGATTTTCCTCAGTTTACTGGGGGCAAGTCACCTGTCATTTCTGAGACCCAGCTCTCTCATTTACAAACCAGGAAATACAATTTCTGTCTTCTACAATCATTGTGAGGATTACATGAAATATGACTGCAAAGTGCCAATCACAGCTAGTGGTCTATAGTAAATATTCAGTAGGTGCTAATTCCAACTCAATGGCTTTCACTGCACCTCCTCCCCAAGCTCTTGGAGGCCTCTGTCTCCTGGAGCTGGGAATCAAATCTTCAGGGTTCCTGGAGCAGATTAGTTTTGAATGTCACTTAATCCTGGTCGTTCTTCCGTAACCTGAGCCATGAAAGGACAGGGCTGGTATAGACCGGCAACCTGAATTCTGATAGGGGCAGGGTTGATATAAACCCATGTAAGTGACCAGATTCATAGGTAATGCAGGATGGAGTTGCAGGCTGGAGCCAAGCTGCTGCTGCTGCTGCTGTGGGTGATATACTGTGGAGATGCGCAGAGAGTGAAAGAAGCACGATATGCATCGATTGTTGACGTGACCAACGGTGGGACCTGGGGTGACTGGGCCTGGCCTGAGATGTGTCCTGATGGATACTTCGCCAGTGGGTTCTCCATCAAGGTGAAGGCTCAGATCTGGGTCTAAAAGGACACAGATATGCCAGATTGCAGAGCTGAGAATGGCATCCCCCTCACTGGACCTCACTTCTCTCCTCCTTACCTAGGTGGAGCCCCCTCAGGGCATTCCTGGGGATGACACAGCTCTGAACGGGATCCGGCTGCACTGTACTCGAGGGAATGCCAAGCAAAACACCCATGTTGTGGAGTCTCAATCTGGAAGGTGGGAATTCGGGACCCCCTCCCCCCCCAAAAAAAGAGGTAGGATAGCATTTATCTAGCGTGTGTAAAGCTCTAGGTTCAATCCCCACTGGCCCAATGGAAGGGCACTCTGCTAGTGCAAAGGGACGCCCCGTGCCCTCTGTTACATTCCCGAGGTAAACTCTGTTACAGTTACGGAGGAGTGGGATGGAAGTCCACCCCTCTGTACTCAGGGAAACACAGGGGATTAGATCCAATCAGTCTGGTTTGGAAGTCCCCGGGTGGGTAGGAGGTGCTCACAGAACCAGTACAGCTTCCCTTCTCTTGTAGCTGGGGCTCATGGAGCGAGCCTCTGTGGTGTCCTGGCACCCACTTCCTAGTGGCTTTCTCCCTTCGGGTGGAACCGTTTTCATTTCCCGGGGACAACACTTCGGTGAACAACGTGCGCTTCCGTTGCTCGGACGGTGTGGAGCTGGAGGGGCCTGGGCTGAGCTGGGGAGATTATGGAGACTGGAGCAACTCGTGTGCCAAAGGTGTCTGTGGCTTGCAGACCAAAATCCAGAAGCCTAGAGGCCCCCGTGATGACACTGGTCTTAATGACGTCAGGATATTCTGCTGTAACTCCTGATGCTGTTGCTGCGGCCCACTCTCCCACTGGACCCTGCCAGTGCTGTGCTTCTTACTATTAAAGCTTCTTGGTCTTGGTCTTGGTTTTTGCTGTTGCTCGATTTAGAAATGAGAGAAGCTGCCTCCTGACTTTTTATGTATCTAAGTATGTATGTATGTATGTATGTATGTATGTATGTATGTATGTATGTATGATGTACACAGTCTGCATATACACCTGCAGGCCAGAAGAGGGCACCAGATCTCATTACTGATGGTTATGAGCCACCATATTGTTCCTGGGAATTGAACTCAGGACTGACCTCTGGAAGAACAGCCAGTGCTCTTAATCTCTTAGCCATCATCTCTCCAGCCCCCCTTGCGTCCTTCTTGACCCTGCATAGATCAAGGTCAGTGTTCAGGTTTGGCTTCAGGAGTTGTAGGTCACATAGTTCAGAACAAAGAACTTAAATACATAATTTTTTGGACTTTTGGCTTTCTGAGGACTGCAGATACTATGCTCCTTTAAGAGCATGAGCTGTCTCCCTTCTGAACTGATGTATCAATGACTTCAGATTAAGGCGTGGAATGGAAGTCCCCACCTCTGTACTCAGGGAAACTCCGTGATTGGATCCAATTTATCCCTTATTGGTAGCATCTGGTGTGGAAGTCCCCAGGTTTGAGTTGGCCAGGTGGGGTCTGCATCTGGTGTGGAAGTCCCCAGGTTTGAGTTGGCCAGGTGGGGTCTGCATCTGGTGTGGAAGTCCCCAAGTGGGTAGGAGGTGCCCACAGAGCCAGTGCAACTAATTAGATGACAATACAATGACTTTACATTTTAATTCTCTAGAGCTTCGAGACTAAAGAATCTTTTCCCATAGTTTCTTCTGCTCCCTCTCCATCTCCCCTCCCCTTGCAAATTCCAAAAAGTGGCTTTTCTTTTCTTTCTTTCTTTCTTTTTTTTTTTGAGACAGGGTTTCTCTGTTTCTCTGTGTAGTGTTGATGCCTGTCCTGGACCTCGCTCTGTAGACCAGGTTGGACTTGAACTCACAGAGATCCACCTGGCTCTGCCTCCTGAGCGCTGAGTTTAAAGGCATGTGCCACTGCCGCCCAGCCCAAATATGGCTTTTTTAAACAGAGATTGCCATTGAAGACTTAGTCTTTCCACGTAGTTTTCTCTGTCTGGAATCTCCCAGGTATCCATATTCAGAATGAGACTTCCCTTATCATGACAAGTATTTCTACCCACCAGCCAATGCTTATCTCATTATCAACATGTTTTTAAAAATGTTTATTGAATAAAAAAATTAATAATAAAAAAAGGAAGGACATGGCTGCTCCTGGGTATGGTGGAGGAGAAGGTTTATTGTAGATAAAAGGGAGTGCATAGGCAGAGACAGAGACATCTGGGAGAGTCCAGAGGGCACATGACCCAGAGTTGGGCCACGGGAAGAGAGTGGGGAGGGGAGGAGAGAGGGGAGAGCCAGACCAAAAGGCCAGGAGGGTAAAAGGAAGACCAAAAAAAAGGGGGGGGGTAACCAAAATGGCTGGATTATATAGGGAAGGGCAGCTGGGAAAAGGGCAGCCTAGCCCCTGGGCTGGAGAGGCTTAGGGTAGGGGGTGGGGTATGCTAGCCATACCCTGTATGTAGAAACTGAGGGATGCCAGGAGAACCTGGCAGCCAGGTCCACTTTGATATGTTAAATAGGCAACCTCAGTCATTTGTACAGGGTTTGAGATCTAACATTTACCAGCAACTGAAATAATCCTTCACTTTAAAAAGAAATTGCCAGCCTGGTGGTGGTGCACACCTTTAATCCCAGCACTAGGGAGGCAGAGGCAGCGTCATCTCTGTGAATTTGAGGCCAGTCTGGTCTACAGAGTGAGATCCAGGAGAGCCAGGAATACACAGAGAAACCTCATCTTGAAAAACCAAAAAAAAAAAAAAAAAAAGAAAAAAAAAAAAAAAAGAAAAAAGAAAGAAATTGCCAGTGGCTGGTGTAAGTGAGACAGAGAAGCAAACAGAAGTTATAGGTGTGTGTGTGTGTGTGTGTGTGTGTGTGTGTGTGTGTGTGTGTGTGTGTGTGTGTGTGGTCTGACTGTGAGCAGGGTGTGTTGTTTTCAGTACCTGGAAATATTTTGTTTCTGCAGGTGAAGTGGAAGGGTCAGGCTGGGGCTAAGCTGTTCTTTATGGCTTGGGGCTCTTTGCCCAGTACAGCCTGACTCAATTCCTCCTGACCTCCTGACCTGAGGCTATTACCCAACAGTGGGAAGGAGTGAAGTGAGGACTCAGTAGGTAAAGGTTCTTGGTGCCAAGCTGGAGGACCTGAGTTTGATCTCCAGAAGACACATGGTATGAGAACTAACTCCCACATTATTCCCTGACACACACATAAATGTAAAGTCAATTAATTAAAAATTGCTCGTTTTTCATCATTGGCCCATTAAATTCCTTGAGAGCACAGAATTTCATTTTCAGAACAATAACTACTTGTTAAGAAAATAACAAGCAGGGGGTGGGGGTACAAATAGAAACAGAAGCTGAGAAATGTCTGAAGGCCCATGCACACTCTTTCCAAAAGGGTAATCAGAACTGGGGAAGGGTGCTGGGGCGGTTTATACCACAAAGAATATCGAACAACAAAAGCAGTTTATTCCGGCTAATCAGGGAGTGGAAGGACCACTCAGACTGCCACAAATGAGGTATTATGAGTGGTCCATGGAACTCAGTGATCTTCGCCCTGCAAGAAGAAAAGAGTGAAGAGGCAGGCCAAGAACAAACCGAATCCGCCCCCGCCCCCCAACTCCACCCCGTGCGTTCCCACCTTTTTCCGGCAATCGCCACACAGTACGCCAAAGGTCGCATTCACCAGCTGTATTCCACACAGCACTATTTCCAGACTCGAGGCGACCACCAGCAGAGAGAAGAGTGTCACGTTCCAGGGTACCACGTGAGGTGGCGCCTCGCATAAATCCCACAGAGTATTGTTGCGCAAGTAAGAGCCTCTGTGGATGGACAGGGTCACTGGAGAGAAGCTGATCACACAGCAGGCCCCACCATCACCCAGGGCAAGGGTCTACTAAGATCTGCAAAGGGCCCGATGGGCCACGTGGAAGGGACTCTCTAGAAGCTCGGTCTGGTCCGTCATTTCTGGAACACGTAGGAAGGGCAGGTGGGGAGAGGCACAGGACGGGGGACACAAATACAGAGAAGGACTTACTGGGTTTCTTGGAAGTGGTAGTCCCACTTGTTGTTAATTAAGCATTTGGGTCCGTTTCGGAGCCCAGTTCCCGACACGGAGAGGCAGTAGATGGCACCAAGCATCCCAAAGGCAGAGGAGAAGACGGAGCGAAGCATCTAGAGCCGGGGTGGAAAGGTAAGGTGAGTAGGCCCGCCGCCTCCCTTGGAGGGCCACCCGTGCCAAATTCCTCCCGCGTATTGCAGTACTTCTGTTCAGCTTGCCTAAAAATTCATTTCTTTTTAAACTCCAGGTTTGAAGTTAAGCGAATCCTAAAAGTCATCTACCACAGGGGTTCACGGGGCTTCTAGGTCCCTCTGGTCAGGTCCATTTGAGACCCAAGACTGGGAGTGAGGTAGCACCCGAGACCTGCTTGTACGACGGTGCTTTGGGGGGAAGCAGTCAAAAGCCAAACGTCTTAATTTGGTTCTTACCCTGCAGCGATTCCCGCAGCAACCCGCGCCGCAGCAGCCCTTGCCCCCTGCCCGGACTGCGGCAATTCCTGGACACAGCACCTGTGGGATGAGAGTTGTTGGTGATGATAGCATTCTCCTAGATCCTCCAGGCTGTCCTTGCATGGCCCATCTCCTCAGGGAAGCTGCCCATGATGCCCTCAGCCCTTTGGACTACAAAACCTTATCTATACTTCTCTGGATCATTGTTGGACTCAACCTTAATTTATCATTATTTATATGCCTGACTTATCTCTCTCCAGATTGTAGCTTCCTGGAGGGTTGGGTCCAATATACTATACCTATCTTAGATGAAAGACCATCAAACATTTGGGCGAGGGGGTGGCAATATTATATGTTCCACACACATATAGTCGCATGATAGGGACCTACTGAAGGGGAGTCAGGACCTTCTTCCCACTCTATGAACGGATTGCTTTCTCAGGATATCCGTTTTGTCTCTTGGAAAGTAGATCTGCAGGACCTATCTCCAAAGACTGTTCTCAGAATTTAATGAGACAGCAGGATGAATTTATGTCATGATAGGCTGAGAGAACGCCCATGCTGATACGTATCTTCAACAGTACGATAGGACATGGAGCGGGAACTGTGGTCGAATGGGTTAGGATTCGCACAGAGATTCTGGTGTGGATGGCAGGGTTTCCTAAGAGTCAACTTCTAATCTTTTTTTTTCCTTCTTGTATCCTTTATTATGAAATACATACCCTCCCAGGGAACCGATCAGCTGTTCCCTACCCTAATAGTCACTTCCAGGGACCTAGAGAGCCATACCAAACCCCCTGAAGGACATGCTCATTTGAATGCCTTAGTTCACTCAGCTTTGGCGAGCCTCATGGTAACCCCACAACACCCCCCAAATTCATCTGCCTTTTGTCTTTCTTGTCTTCATCAGTGGAAAAACACCCACCAAGTCACCTGGGCTGGAAGATTTCAATCCTCCTATACCAGGGCTGACTTCAAGTCTTCTGTGCTTTGCCTTGGTGGCTTCTAAATCTTTCAGTCCTTTTTTTCTTCTTTCACACACTCAGCCCCTACTCCCCTTCCACGAGGAAGATGTTCTCTACCTCCCTAATAGATGCTCATCATTCCTCTAGCCTCTGCCTCTGCCTCCTGAGCACTGGGCTTAAAGGCACATGCCCCAGGCCTGGAGAGCATTGCCCTTTTGATTTACCGATTTTTGTTCATTTATTTGTTGAGAGAGTGTCTCACTCTGTAGCCTGGGTTGTCCTGGAATTCACTATGGAACCCATGCTGGTCTTGAACTTGCAACAGTCCTTTTTGCCTCAGCCTCTCAAGTGCTAGAATTACAGGTCTTAGCCACCACATCTGACTCTATTTGAAAAAAAAAAAAGATTCAATGGGGGCTGGAAAGATGGTTCAGTGGTTAAGA